GAACGTCCCAAAGCCACTTCTCTGAGTTCCAGTGACAGGTAAACCCCCTCCCCATCTTCCTTACAGCTCCAGCCACTCTGGTTAAATAATAATAACTATAATAATGTTTACTGAGCATTTTGTTTTGTCAGTGTCTTTGCTAAGCCTTTCGTTTGTATATCACATGCTTTAATCCTAACAACTCCACAAGGAATATAACCACCATTTTCAAGCTGAGAGAAGTCTGGGGTGGTTGGCAAAGAACATCCCTAAGCCCTTGCAGGCTTTGGCATTCTGGGTGTCTTAAATGCTCTTCCTTCCTCTCTTTTATTCACATATTTATTCATCCATCAAGCACCTACCAGATGTTAGGAATCTTACAAAGGGGGTTTTCACAGCATATTGAGGGTTGAATCAGTTTTCTCCCTCCTTCCAAAGTCAGGATAAAGAAAAAAAAAAATAGCCTGCCCTGGTCGGTGTGGCTCAGTTGGTTGTCCTGTGCACTAGAAGGTCATCAGTTTGGGCACATGCCTGGGTTTTGGGCTTGGTCCCTGCAGCCAATTGATGTTTCTTTCTCTCTTCCTCCCTCCTTCCCTCCCTCTTCTTCTTGTTCTAAAATAAATTTTAAAAACATGTTTTTAAATTTATTATTTTTAAAAAATTTTTCTTTATTTATTTTAGAGAGGGAGAGAGAGATAGAAACATCCATGAGAGAGAACATCGGTTGGCCGCCTCCTGCATGCCCCCCACTGGGGATTGGGCCCACAACCTGGGCATGTGCCCTGACCGGGAATCAAACTGGCGACCTCTTGGTGCATGGGTCGATCGATGCTTAACCAGTGAGCCACGCTGGCTGGGCAAAAAGTGGTGTTTTTTTTTTAATAACTAAAGAAAAAATAGCCAGAGGTCACTGTATCCCCTACTGTCCCCCCAATACCTTTCTGACCATTCTTCTCTTCATTCATTTATTAACTCCAAAAATAAGCGTCTACTTTATTCAAATTCTCTACTTAGGTACTGTGCTCAGAAGGAGCACTCTGAGAAAATAAAGAATGCCTGTCCCACTGCCCTTTCCTCCTGGAATCCTGGAGGTTACCAACAATGCATTCTCTTTCCCCCCTTTATAGATGTGGGGTCCTTGTATTAAGAAAGACTCTTGCCCTGGCCTGTTTGGTCAGTGGTTAGAGCGTCGGCCTGCGGTCCAGAGAGACCCGGGTTCGGTTCCCGCTAAGGGCGCGTACCTGGGTTGCAGTTTGTCCCCGGCCCTGGTTGGTCACGTGGGTGGCAGCCACTCGATGTGGCCCATTCTCTCTCTCTTCTGCTCTCTCCCTCCCACTCTATCTGAACAAAAAATGGAAAAATGTCCTCAGGTGAGGATTAAAAAAAAAAAAGAAAGACTCTTAGTTGCAATTAACAGAAATCTAGCTGAAATCATCTTAAGCCTAAAAGGGGATTTACTGGATCCTTTAAACAAAAAATTCAGGGGCATCAGGCTTGGCTGGTTCCAAATGGGTGTTAAATAGTGTTGCCATGAAACTGCCTTTCTTTGTTCAACTGTGGTCCATGTTGGCTTCCTTCTCAAGCAGGCTCTCCCTTGTGTGAGGGCAAGATGGCTTCCAGCAGCTCAGAATCCATATCTTGCTAACTTGACAACCCCAGCAGTCTCATTCTAGAATTCATTGACTCTGATTGGCCAATCCTGGGTTATGACCCCAATCCTGAACCAATCAGTGTGACTCTGTTTGGCTGGACCTTGCTTCTGTGCTCCCTAGTGGAAGGGGAGGTTGATGTTAGCCTCTCTGAACCACATGGTCTGAGAGAGGGGGAGGGAGGGTCCCCCAAAGGAAACTATTACCAGAAAAGGGGGGATTGAGTGTTGGACAACCCAAAACAATCATAGTCATACAATAAATACCTCCATCCCATTCTCTAATATCCCTTATCCCTACATCATTCTGACAAATGACTGTCTACCTTCTGTCTTGAACTAACATTTTGTGAGCAGTGGCTATGTTCCAGGTACTATGTTAAACACCTTCCTGACAATATCAAACTTCCTAGTCACCTGCATTTTATGAGTTAAAAACAGGCTCAGAGAGATGAAAGCAGTTGCCAAAAGTTACACAGTGAGTGGCCGAGCTGGGATTTCAATCTAGGTCTGTCTGCTTTAAAAGCTGAAGTTTATAGCCAACTATTATGCTGCCTCTTGGGAGTGCTCCCTGATTTGTTCCACTTTGGGGCAGCTCTAACTCAAGTTCCTGTGCATGCTAGAGCAAATTAGGAACCAGGTCTTGGTTTTCCCATACCTAATATGAGAAATTTGGACTGGCTCTTGGTTAAAGCTCCTCCCAGCTCCTATAAAATAAAGCAACCAGCGTGTAGGCTGATTTGCTCAGGGATGAGAAAACCCAGGAATTAGAGTTATTTGTCATTTCAAAGTCTAAGAGGCCATCACAGGACAGAAGGAGTATTTATTAATTCAACAATTTTTTATTGAGCACCTACTAAGTGATGGGCATTATTTTAGGAACTAGGAATAAAGTCAGGGTCACATTAAGACTTATTTTCAAGGGCCTTGCACAATTTTGCTCTCTTGGGCCCCTTCCTCTGGTAAAAACAATAAAAGTTATAGTTAACGACAGCATTGGTATGAAGATGAATATAATCCAAATTGGGTTTATTCATTTTTTTCTTTTGATTTTAAAGAAATTAAAACATTTTCATAAGCCCCTAAAAGTATCATGGGCCTAGGCACTGTACTTACCATGCCTAATGGATGTCAGCCTGGGATATAGCAATAAATTAAAAAGACAAAAACCCCTCTTCTTGTGGAGTTTATAATGAATAAATAAGATTTTGGATGCTGATAAATGATATATCAAATGACAAAAAAAAAAAATGTTTATTTCGATTGAGTGGTCAATCTCTTTGAATAGGTTAATCCTCACCTGAGGATATGTTTATTGATTTTTTTCTAGGGAGAGGGAGAAACATTGATCAGTTGCTTCTCATTAGGGCTTGACCAAGGGATTGAACTGCAACCTTGATATGTTCCCTGACTGAGATGATGTTCCAACCAACTGAGTACCTGCCAGGGCTGAAGAAGTTGCATTTAAGATCAGTGGTGATGGGAAAGAAGAAACCAGCCATGCAAAAATCAGGGCAAATGAATGTTTCAGTTGGAGGCAATAGTAAGACCCTAAGGCAGAAATAAAATTGGCAGTTTAGAAAAACAGAAAAGGGATCCGTGTCTGGAGCTGACCCTTTCCCCACAGACCCTCAGGGCACAGCTGGAGTAAGTGGGTGAAAAGTAAAGACTATGAAGAAAGAACCTGACTAAAACCAAAACCATCCAGCAAGGAAAGGGGCAGCCTTGGGAGGGAGTGTCTGGTTCCCAGAGGCCCCTGTGAGCAGGGCCCAGGTCACATCAATTCAGGACTACTGCCCAGAAGATGCTAGGATTTTGTGATTCTTAGTCACCCTTTTGTTCCCTCCAAAAAAATTTTTTTGGAACGTCTTTGTTTGCATAGAAGGCTCTCTTGGTGCTTTGCAAGACCCAGGGACTACAGTTGGTATGAAACCCTGTTTTTCAGACATGGCCAAATAATGCCTAGGCCTGGACACTTTTTCTTCCTTGCTTTCTGTATTGTTTCTTGCAGGGCCTTCTGGGGGCTCTAGAACAGAAGGAAAGTATTATGCAAAAAATAATTATCAAGGCTAGACAGGAATTTAGAGATGAGCCTACCTAGTTTTTCTCTAAGGATAGAACCCCAACACATTGCCCCTCAAAGTTATGGTGTGTACCAAGAGGTAACTAGCAACCAATTGCTGATTTTCTTTTCTTTCATTCCTTCATTCAGTAGACTAATATATATAATTTTATGTATTCATAACAGTTGTGAGGAGGTGAACTAATAATGTCATTCCCTGTGTAAAGCTCTTTGATGGCTTCTCATTGGTCTTAGGATAAAGGCGAAACTCTTCTGTACTATGAGCCTATAAGACCCTGCCTCTTCTGGCCCCTATCTCCTTCTCCAGTCTCATCTCACCCTACAGGACTCCTTGCTGTTTGTTCTTCAGACACTCCAACTTTATTTCTTTTGCATTCTCCATGCTCCCATGTGCCACAGGACCTTTGCACATGTTTCCTCTATCTGAAATGTTCTCTTTTGCTCTTCACATATACATTTCCACTAATCCTTCAGAACAGGTTCTGGCCAGGTTTACGTCTTCAGGGAAAACCTCATTGATTAAGTCAAAGCCACCTATTACAAGTTTCCATCATATTAAGCAATACCTCACCTTTGTCTCCATCAGGGTCAACTTCATAGGCATGTGACCCAGGTAGTCACAGGGTCCTGTGCTTAGAAGAGCCCAATGCTTGGTTTAATGCTCTGCTCTCACCATCTTGAAATTACCAATTTTTGAACAAGGGGTCCCACATTATTATTACTATTTTTTGTTAATCCGCACCTGAGGATATGTTTTCCACTGATATTTTAGAGAGAGTGGAATGGAGGGAGGGAGGAGGAAAGAGAGAGAAACAACCCAGGTACATACCCTTGACCAGGAATTGAACCTGTGACCCTTTGGTGCTTGGGCCAATGCTTTAACCACTGAGCCACACTGGCCAGGGCAAAGGGTCCCACAATTTTATTTGTAGTAGTCCTCCCTAAGCAAGTTATGTAGTTGGTTCTGGTCCTAGTTGCAATTTTATGTTTGTTTATGTGACAATTTGATTAATGACCATATCCCTGACTATACTGTGGGCTCTAGAAAGGGCTGTATTTGTATATATTTATATATATATATTTATCCCTATCACCTATCACAGTTTCTGGCACATAGTTGGTGTTCAATAAGTAGTTGTTGAATGAATAAGAAAGATTCTTTCAGCCCTGGCCGGTTTGGCTCAGTGGTTGGAGAGTCCTGGGTTCGGTTCCCGCTAGGGGCACATACCCCCCACCCCCCAAAAAAGAAAGATTCTTTCAGGACATCAGAGTTTTGTTAGGACAGTAAGTATGTCGTCCACACTGCTCTTCAGTCTCCTTCAAGGCAATGACAGTGATTCCTCTGTCTCCATGGGGTCCAGCCCAGGGCCCAGCAGGAAGACAAGGGAGGCTAGGAAGGCTTCCTGGGGCAGGTGACGATTGAACTGAGCCCTGAAGGAAGAAGAAATAAGGACTGGTGGAGACAGAGGTGTTTGGGCATTCCTGGAGTAGCATAAGCAATGGCAGTGGAGTGTAATTTAGGAGAGAGGCTCTGGTCTTTGTGTCTCCATCTGTCAGGAAGAGGGTATGGAGGTGTGTATGCATGGGTATATTATGAATTATGAATTCAGGGATTAGATCCCAGAAGTTCTTCATCTGCCCAGGAGTCAACTGCTGCTTTCAAGCCTTTTCGTATTTATTCATTCAGCAAACGGCACTGAGTTCCTGCAGTGTACCAGACCCTGTTTTAGGTGCTAGAGATACAGTGGTGCCCCCCACCCAGCTCTCAGCCCAGCTCAGGGATCAGAGAAGTTCACCAACACAGGGGCTGGGGGACCATAGCAGAGGTACCTCACCTGTCCTGCGGAGTTAGGGTCAGATGATGGGAGAGAACCAAAGGAAGTAAGAGAATGGTCAGCCAAGCCAGGTCATGAGAGGCATCATAAGCCACTTTGAAGTTTTAAACTTGATCTTAGTAACGAGATGTCATTGAGAAGTGTGAAACACTTATTAGACAACTAATGTATCAGGCTCTGTGCTGGGTGATTTCACACCCACTAATTTATTTAGTTCTATTGCTAATCCTCTAAGCCTGAATGAATATCCTCATTCCCATTGCACAGATGAGAAAACTGTGGTCAGATTTGTGTTTCAGAAAGATCACCCTGATTCTACGAGAGTATGGATTGGAGGAGGCCAGCTGGGAAGCTGGGAGGTCTATGAGGATGTCAGTAAATGGACCAAGGCAGGGGCTACAGGGATGGAGGGAAGGGATCAGAGGAGGAATGGGCAAGATTTGGTGACCTATTGGACAAGGGGATAAGGGGTAGTGTCCAGATGATGTCCGGGATTCTGTCTTGGGTGCCTGGGGCGGGGAATGTTCCTGAGATGGGGAACAATGAGACAGGAGGTTTGAGAGTCAGATGCCAAATTCCATTTTGGATGTCCTAATCAAAATCAGTTTTTGTTCCAAAACAGGAAGCAAAGAAAAAACCACACCAGCAAACTCCATGAGTTGGCATTGCTGCTACCCTTGGCCCCAAAGACCTATAGCAAGAAGCTTACTAAGGTACGTGGACTGAAGGAGAGAAGGTAGATTTAAAAATGTATTATTATTATTATTATTATTATTATTATTATTATTATTTTAATCCTCACCTAAGGATATTTTTTCCACTGAGGGAAGGGGTGAGAGAGAAAGAGAAACATCAATGTATTGGTTGCCTCCTGCACATGCCCTGACTGTAGCCAGGGATGAATCTGCAACCTCAGTACATGCCCTTGACTGGGAATCCAACCCAAGACCCTTCAGTGCTCTGGCCGTTGCTCTAGCCACTAAGCCACACCAGTCAGGGCTAGGAGGTAGATTTTAAAATGTCAGTAAGCAGGTTAACTTCCCTTGTCCTGAGAAACCTAGACAGACTTTTTCAGTGACAGCACTGAGATGGGAATGGTCCTGTTCTGAATGGGAATTCCTGGAAGTCTTTGAACCCATGACTGCAGGATTCTTTCTTGTAAAGGAGGCAGGGGTAACAAGGAGGGGGAAATAGGCAAGGAGCCAGGTAAAGGTCAGTGTATTGGGAGTCATCTAGCCATGGGTTCGAGTTCTCCAGCTCCACAGCTGCAGAACCCTGGTCAGGTCTCTCGGGATATCAGCTTCTCAGGCTTCGGGTTTCTCAGCTGTAAAATGACTACAGGTAACTCCTTCTACCCAGAAATATTGTGAAGCCAAGATTGCATAATAGCCTGTGACAGACCCTGAATAAATTTCTGTTCCTCCTTGTTTTGTGACCTGTGGGTATCATCTCCACCAGGTAGAAACAGATACAGCTTCTCTGTGTGTCCCAATTGGCTACTCAATAAATGTAGACAGTGCTGAACTAACACCTCACTCCCAGTGGGAGCAACTTACCATGAGACTCGGAGATCTTGAAGGCTTGGTGTGATGTTTTCTTGATATAGTTCCTCTCATTCAGTCATTTATTCATCCATCCGCTGTTTTTGGAAAGATCGTTGGATGTCAGAGCTTTTGTGGAAGCAAAGAAATTTAAGACCCAGTCCTCATCCTCTGGGAGCTCAGAATCTGGCCAGGAAGATAAGATTTGAACACAGGAGTAACTGGTCCCAGCTAGAATGTGCTACTTGCCTTCAGAGAGGTTCAGAGGAGCAGGTGTTTGGAAAGGTTTGCCAGACCCTAACCGTAACCTCTCTGCCTGCCACATTCCATCAATCCCCAGTCATGTTGATTTTCCCCACCCCCAACACCTCTCAATTACAAGTGCTTATATTATTTTCTTGTTGCTACTGTAACAAATTACCACAAATTTAGTGCCTTAAACCAACACAAATTTATTGTCTCACAGTTCTGGAGGTCAGAAGTCCAAAATTAGTCTCATTCTAAAGTCAGGGTGTCAGTAGAATTGGTTCTTCTTGGAGGCTCCAGACAAGACTGTGTTTCCTTTCCTTTGCCAACTTCTAGAGGTCACCTATGTTCCTTGGCTCATGGCCCCTTCAAAGCCAGAAGTGTAGCATTTTCAAATGTTACCTTCTCTCTCTTTGCTTCCGTCATCATTCCGCCTTTTCTGCCTTTGACCCTCCTGCCTCCCACTTACAAGGAACCCTTGTGATTACATTGGGCCCACTGAGATGATCCAGAATAACCTCCCCATCTGAAGATCCTTATTCAATCACACCAATCACATCTGCAAAGTCCCCTTTGTCATATAGGGTAACATATTCACAGGTTCCAGTGACTAGGACATGGACGTTTTTGGGGAGAGGCATTACACAGACCACCCAAGTGCTCAAAAATACTGGAGGGATTTTGTCTACTGTCCAGAAGCATTCGAGTATTTGGTGCACATTGGTGCTATCATAAGCTCTTGAAAGGGAAGGCAGATGTGTCTGGGACACAGTCCCTACTCTGGAAGAATGACATTCTAGTCAGGAGTCAGGCATCATTTTATCACTGACCAGATGACCACATCTCCTCATGGAATTCTCCCCAGGCCTCAACCCACTTTCTTTACCATCGATTCTCTACTGTCTGAATGATCCCTCTTCTTCCCCATCTTCATCCTTCCTTAAGTTCAGTCCTGGGCCCTCTGCTCCTCATACAACCTGAATTCCTGTCAATCCCTAGCTTCTCACTTGACCAGTCTGCCTGAAGTACATCATCACAATTCATCAAGGCCATGTGACCTGCTCAGTCTGCCGCTCAGTGAACTAACGGGAGCTATTATGTGTGGCCTCTCTGGCGTTTGAGATGGGCTACAGCTTAGACCTGTGACATCCTAACTCACCATCCTGGCTGATTAAGTGCCCCCTGTCCCATAGGATGCTGTTGCTTCTTCTTCCTCCAACCACCAAAGCCTTCAGGATGTAACTGTGATTGTTTTCTTATCTCTGACCCCCTTTAGGTAAAGAGTTCTGAGATGGCAAGGACCATATGAATAAATCTCTATTCCAAATGCCCAGAGAACCTAGCATAGAGCAGATAATAGTAATTGGTTCCAATTAACTGAAAGTTCTAGGTGTCAGATCCGGAGTGCCAAGCATTTTATATACATTTTCTTATTAAATCTTCCCCACATGGCTTTTGAGATACATATGGTTATGCTCATTTTTTGGTTTGAGGAAACTGAGGCACAGAGGGGTCATATTGCCCAGAGGGACACAGCGAGCTGATGGCAGAGAGACAGCCAGATGTGTCTCTTTCCAAAGGCCCACACCGTCAACCACTCTGTCATTCAGTGCTCAACAGATGTTTGTTGAATGAATGAATGAATGAACGAATGAATGAAGGAATGAAAGAATAATTTTTGTCTACTGAGGAAGTTTCAGGACCTGTACACCTCACCCTGAGAAGATCTCTGGTATTTGATTCTTTGGTGCAGCCCTCAAGCTAACCTTCCTGAAGTTCTAATTACTGAGCATTCTGCACTGAAATCTGAGATGAGGCCCAATTGCCTTCTGCATAAAACCTTTATACTAGTAACAATAAGTAACATTTTATATTACTTTACAGTTTACAAAGACTTCAGCTTAGTGAGTGCCCACCATGTGCCAAGCCTGGTGTTGAAGATACTAGGCTAAAAACACAGTATCTGCTCTGGAAAAACCCCTGGTCTATTTATAAAAAGGTAGAAAATGTTCTCATTTAATCTCTTGAGAACCTGGTGAAGGTACTCTCATTGTAGTCAACTAAGCATTTATTAGGCAACTAATGTATCAGGCTCTGTGCTGGGTGATTTCACACACACTAATGTATTTTATTTTTGTTTGTGTTTTTAGAGAGAGAGGAAGGGAGAGAGAGATAGAAACATCATTGTGAGAGAGAAACATCCATCAGCTGCCTGCCCTGACCAGGAATTGAACTGGGACCTCTCAGTCCATGGGATGGTGCTCAATCCACTGAGCCACACCAGCCAGGCACACTCACTGATTTATTTACTCCTGATGATAATTCTCTGAGCCTGAACAAGTAGCTCATCTCCATTGCACTGCTGAGAAAACCGAGGCTCAAAGAAGTTAAACAACCTGCTCCCAGTACACAGCCTTTAAGTGGCAGATTGAAACCAGGTCCTTCCAAACTAATAGTCTCTTGGCTGTGTCACTAGTATTCCTTAGTTGGATTATAGTTTCCTTTAGTGGATCAGGTTAAATAATTTCAGTGACTGTCTGTATTATATTTTATGGAACAGCTTCACATAAGTCCCCTTGCAAGACCATGTTTCCTGATTTGGGGTTTGGAAGATTACTGCTAATGGCTTTATTATAATTCTAGGGATCTGGTAGGATAAAAAAATACTTATTGCCCTGGCCAGTTTGGCTCAGCGGTTAGAGCGTCGGCCTGCGGTCCGCAGAGACCCGGGTTCGGTTCCCGCTAAGGGCACGTACTTCGGTTGCAGTTTGTCCCCGGCCCTGGTTGGTCGTGCGGGTGGCAGCCACTCGATGTGTCCCTTCACATCGGTGTTTCTCTCTCTCTCTCCCTTCCTCTCTCTCCCTCCCACTCTATCTGTACAAAAAATGGAAAAATGTCCTCGGGTGAGGATAAAAAAAAAAAAAATACTTATTGGTGTTCTTCCCTCATGTCCTCACCAAGCTAACTTATTCTTCAAGTCTCAGTTTAAATGCTGCTGCTTTCTAGGGGCCTTTTAGGACATCCAAGTTTAATTAAGAATCCCTTTTGTTCATAATGCTTATCACACAGTAGATAATTTTGTATGATTTTTTAATTTATTAAGGTCTGCTTTTCTCACTAGATTGTAAGTTCCATGAAAGCAAACAAAAGTATGTCTAGGTCGCCCCTACATACCTGGTCCTTAGTAGGAAGTAGTTTTTTTTAGCTTAGTAGCTCTGATAGAAACTCAGTCGGTATTTGAGTTTTGAGAGGTCAGATTTGAGAGGTGACTGGAGGGGTGATGCCTGCCAGGCAGGCTTAGTGCTTGGTGCTGTGGGGGGGTTCATTACTTTAGCAGTCACTGGCTAAGCCACCTCTCAAATCTGTGTGCTTGGGATACAGAAATCAATTAGCTACAGTCTCTACCTTCAACTAGTCCAAGGTCAGTGGGAGAGAACAACGTGTAAACAGAGAATTATAAAACAGTGCGGCAAGTGCCTTGGTGAAATCAGGCCCAGGGTGTTACAAGAGTGCCTAGGAGAGACACCTGGCCCAGCCTGGGTGAGAGAGGTCAGGAAGGAGGGAAAGCTTCTAGAAGGGGAGAGCACTGTGCTAAAGCCAGAGGAGGAGATGCCAGGTGAGGGAGTGTGTGTAGGAAGAACAGGAAAACTGCCTTGGCCAGTTTGGCTCAGCAGTTAGAGCATCAGCCTGCGGACCATAAAGTCGCAGGTTTGATTCTGGTCAAGGGCACGTACCTCAGTTGTGGTTTGGTCCCTGGCCCTGGCTGAGGTGGGAGGGAGGCAACCAATCGATGTGCTTCTCTCACATTGATGTTTCTCTCTATCTCTCTCCCTCACACTCTGTCTGAAAATAAATGGAAAAATATTCTCAGGTGAGGATTTAAAAAAAAAAAAGAAGCCCTGGCCGGTTTGGCTCAGCGGTTAGAGTGTGGGCCTGCGGTCCAGAGATACTCGGGTTCGGTTCCCGCTAAGGGCACGTACCTCGGTTGTGGTTTGTCCCCTGGTTGGGTCGTGTGGGAGGCAGCCACTCGATGTGTCCCTTTTACGTCAATGTTTCTCTCTCTCTCTTACTCTTTCTCCCTCCCACTCTATCTGAACAAAAAGTGGAAAAATGTCCTCAGGTGAGGATTAAAAAAGAAGAAGAGGAATGCTTTGCAGATAGAGAATACAACATGTTCAAAGGACCAGGGGTGGGAAGGTAAAGAGTGTGTGCCAAAAAGCTGGACCAGGAGGCAGGCAGACCTGGATTTAAATCCCAGTTTGGCCACTTCCTCTCGGTAACCTTAGCAAGTCCCATTATACTCTGAGCCTCAGTTTCCTTAGTTGTAACCGCTACCTTGCTGGGCCACAGTGAGAACTAAATAACAAAATAGGAACATGTCTGTCAATGGAGGAATTGTTGGGGTGGGAAATGGGGTCCTGGAGCCTTTCTGCATCTGGTTTCTAGCAGCCTCTCATTGTCTCGGGCCCCCACTCTTGTGTGTAACCCTGTCTTTCTTTTGCGGGTAGAAGGAGATTCTGCTGCACATCCTGCACTACATTCAATACCTCCAGAGAAACATCGATGTGGCCGAGGCCTTGCTCAAATTCCACACCACCAATGGGGAAGGTGGGGCAGGAGGTAAGTACATTTGGTCCGTGTTTCCCAGGGCCTGCTGCAAGTATTGTCCTGCTGTCAAGGACCCTGAGTGACTTAGACTATTCCAGGCCCTGCCGAATCTCACAGCCTCGCAGAGGACAAAGTCGGAGGAGGGTGTCTGGGAAGACTGTGGGGGCAGGGCTCTTGGAGCTGAGCCTTTGAGGACAGTAGAAGGGGGGCCCTGCCAAGTAGAAGAAACAATCTGAGCAAGAGCGTGCAGGCATGAGAAAGCACGTGTGGAATGTCTGGGGACAGGCGAGCAGATGGGTGTGGTTGGAGGGACCGCGGAGCATTGAGATGATGTGCACAGGCTCTTGAGCCTGATCCTGACTCAGATACAAGTCCTGTTACCTTAACTTCTTTGTACTTCCATTTTCTCATCGGCAAAACGGGACCAATACTAGCACTCCTTTTCTGTGTTTACCGTGAAGATTAAATGAGTTAATACACGAAGATTAAATGAGTATTGTAACACAATGCCTGGAACACGCCAGTCATCCAGTTCCAAATGTGCTGGGTGCTGTCATGACTGGTGTAAAAAATACACAGGGCCCTGGCCGGTTTGGCTCAGCGGTTAGAGCATCGGCCTGCGGTCCAGAGAGACCCGGGTTTGGTTCCCGCTAAGGACACGGACCTCGGTTGCAGTTTGTCCCTGGCCCCAGTTGGAGTTGTGCAGGAGGCAGCCACTCGATGTGTCCCTTTCACGTCGATGTTTCTCTCTCTCTCTCTCTCTCTCTCTCTCTCCCTCTCTTTCCCTCCCACTCTGTCTGAGCAAAAATGGAAGAATGTCCTCGGGTGAGGATAAAAAAAAAAGAGGCCTCTAATATCTAGTGTGGGGGGTTGGTTATTAAGAGAAATGAGTCAGGGAGGTCAGTGAAGATACTTTTAGATGAGGCCCAATCTGGCACTATAGCTGAGTGTGGACAGAAGTAGGTACATTTAGGAGACGTTAATGAAGAAGAACTGAGAGGCCTGGGGGAGAGGCCCCGGGTGACCCAGGACAGGTGGTGGAACCCTCACTGTCTTGAGGAACCTAGAAGGAGGAATTGGTTTGAAGTGGGGAATATGGGACGAATTTTGGAAGCACTGAGTCTGTTTTTCCTCTGAGCCAAGGCTCAGAACGGCCCTGGACACGTCTGATCTTCTCCTGGGACCTTACTTTCCACATTTGTTAAGTCAGTGATGGACTGTGGCAGACCACCGCCCCGCCCCAGCAGCACTGGGAAGCACTGTCTGGAAGGGAGGATTTGGAATAGGATGAGGGTCTCCTTCTGACCTGTCTGCTTTGTCCTGTGCAGGGCTGGGCCGGAACGCCACTGTGGGCTCAGCAAGGCGGAGACATCTCACCCCATCTAGCTCCCCACACTGTTGTAAGTCCTGTCTTTGGGAAGCCTGTCAGAAACCTAGGAAGAAGAAGCTGACCGGAGCATCAGGTACAAACCGTCAGGGGAGGCAGAACAGGAAGTCGGGGTCATATGGAAGTGGGGCTCCTTCTTCCAGGCCACCACACTCCAGGGAGGTCCAGTCAGTCATCCTGAACCCCTGACAAGGCTTTAGAATCGGACATGCCTGGGTTCAGCTTCTGGCTCCTCCTCTTACTAGCTCTGAAACCTGGGGTGGTCACTGTCCTCTGAGCCTCATCTTCCTTGTCTGGAAATTGTAGTGCCTGCCACGGATGGGGTGGTCTAAAGGATTAAGATCCTGAAGACATACGGCTCAAGCAGTGCTTAGGTGAAGCGGCACATGGTCAATACCTGGCGAAGGGAAGCCACTGTCAGCATTTATGGTCTTCATGGCCAGTAATCCATCCCTGGGTCAGGGCATCCAGCAGCATGGGCATCAGGGAGGAAAGACCCAAGTGTGGGAGACCAGTGTCCTGGGTCTGGCCTCAGCCTTGCTATAACTCACTACATGTCCCTTCTCTTTCAAGGGCCTCAGTTCCCATGTCATTAAAATGGGAGTTGGATCTAATCAATGATTTCTAGCCCTGGTAGCACATCTGAATCATCCAGTGCTTGAAAAATATATCTATGGCCCTGGCTAGTTTGATTCAGTGGTTAGAGCATCAGCCCTCAGACGGGGGGTCATGGGTTCAGTCAAGGGCACATACCTGTGTTGCAGGTGCGATCCCCAGCCCTGGTCAGGGTTGTGTGGGAGGCAACCAATCGAGGTGTCTCTCACATTGCTGTTTCTCTCTCTCTACTCCCTCCCTCCTTTACACTCTAGAAATCGGTGGGAAAATATCCATGGGTGAGGATTAACAAACAAACAGAAAGACCTATGCCTGTGTCACACCCAGAAAGTCAGGTTTCAGTGGTCTGGGGTGCAAGCTGGGCTGCGGTCTTTTGCAGAGCTAGCAAGGTGATTCTAACCTGTAGGTGGGGGAAGGGAACGTTGGACTAAGTCAGCGGTTCTCAACCTGTGGGTCATGACCCCTCTGGGGGTCAAGCAACCCTTTCACAGGGGTCACCTAAGACTATTGAAAACACATATCTCCAGCCCTGGCCGGTTTGGCTCAGCGGTTAGAGCGTCAGCCTGCGGTCCACAGAGACCTGGGTTCGGTTCCCGCTAAGGGCATGTACCATGGCTGCAGTTTGTCCCCGGCCCTGGTTGGGTCGTGTGGGTGGCAGCCACTCGATGTGTCCCTTTCACATCGATGTTTCTCTCTCTCTTCCTCTCTCTCCTTCCCGCTCTGAGTAAAAAATGGAAAAATGTCCTCGGGTGAGGATAAAAAAAAAAACAAAAAAAAAAAAACAAAACAAAAAAAAAAACACATATCTCTAATGGTCTTCGGAACTGAGACACCGCTCCTTTATCCGTCTCCAGGAGGGTCCGCCCACATGCAGATACGCCCACATAAAACACGAGGAACTGTATTAAAGGGCCGTGGCATTAGGAAGGTTGAGAACCACTGGACTAAGTGATTTCTAATTGAGGATCCGGGCTTACCTAGGAAGCACTTATTGAGTGACCAGGCCAGGCAGAGCTTTGAAACAGGTGGTTGGGCCTAGAGCAAAGAAGACCCCCACCCAAGCTATCTTCTGGTGACACTCAAGCACCCTGCCCCATCTGATGCCGTCTCTCTGCTGTCCTAGAACGCCAGACCCGGGCCCAGAACCCTTGCCGCTGTCTGGCTCTGGACAAGCCCCAGAAGCAGGTGACCCCATCCCCAGACCAGAAGGGAGGAAACGTGGAAGGGACCACCTCTCCTCCAGGATGCCTTGACTCCTACATTCACCCCAAGGCTGCATCATCCTTGCCTCAAAGTGACAGAATTGGAGGAAGATCGTGGCTGCCATCGCTGGATGTGGCTAAGAACAGCGTCTACTGTGACATCTCAAGTTGGTCTTCCCTCACCATTAACTTAGCCAATCATTTGTACACCACTTGTTAGGCTCCCACAACATCCAGGCCAGTCCTAGTAGCTGAGGCTTCGGCGGTGCACCAGGGAGGCACTGCCTCTCACTTCACATAGCTATGGTCCCTTCCTCGGGTTTCTTTTCCCTTCAGGCTCTGCTAGGGGTGTAAGGGCCGGACAGTGCCTCCTGAGACTTCACTTGATGTAGCCAGACAACTGCTCTGGGGACAGCCCATCCCTGCACTAGCTTCAAATGGTGTGATGGCTCACTCAGCAGAGAGTCAGGCGAGAAAGGGGGCAAGTGAAGACAATGCCTCGAGTAGTTCTGTCTTCTATCCATCTGTTCGTTCAGCGCTTGCTCCCTGAGCATTGCCTCTTTGCCAGGCCGTGTGCCAGGTGCTGGTGACAATCCAGTGAAAGCATCACACACTATCACCGATGGTCCAGAGTGGTCCTGACTTCCTGGGGTTTCCCAGGAGGCCTTGGGGACCCAGAGGAAGCACCTGACCCACCTAGGGAAGAAGGGCTTTCCAGATCAGCTAGTTGTGTGGTTTTGGGCAAGTTATTTAATAGCTCAATGCCTCAGTTTACTTAACTGTAAAATGGGGGTAATAATGGTACTCTTTCATGAAGGGTTACTGAACAGCATGTGAAATGCTTCTCTGGCCATGGTAAGCTTTGTACTTGTTCACAACTATCGTCTTCATCGTCATTGTTCCACTTAAGGATTGTGTCTTCCTTATAGCTTCTGATAAAGGGGTGGGATTCCAGAAACCTAGTAGTGATTTGGGTTGTCCCTGAGCCTCACGCAGAGGTCCTGAAGCTTGAGGCTTTGCCTAGGATGGGGGAGGGAAAGGCTGTGGCAGACCCTGGCACCTCTTCCTCCCTGCTCCTGAGTCTGGAGTTTGTCCCAGTCACAGGATGATTACTCTGAATTGCCTCCTTAGGCTGCTGTTGCAAAAACAATGCCCAAGATTATGGGTCTTACCCTGCCTTTGGGGTCCAGCAAGAGGCTGAGAGGACCTATTTTCTCAACAGAACACAGCCCCATCCCAGGTAAGGGAACCCCAAGGGCTCTGAGTGGGGATGACTGACGTGTTTGGTCTGGAACGGCTGAGGGACAGTGAGACATCAGGTTGATGTACTTCCTCTGCTGGTGTCTGTGGAGTGAGCACTGCTGTAGGCCTAGCTTTCCACAGGCATCGTAAACTTGAAGGAAAGACGGGCCACAGCCCCTCGCCGGACTCCCTGTCTCCTGTCTCCCCCTTCCAAGCCATCCTTACTAGTCACACAAACCTTGACCGTGTCAGCTCGTGGCTTAAAGCCCTCCCTCAGAATCCAAATATCTTCATTGGCATTTGAGAACTTCTCTGGCTTTAGCTGACCTTGCCAGCACCCTCTCCTGCCTCTCATCCATGAATCTTACCCTTAACACCTCCACATATTCACCATTTCACACGGGAACCATGCCCTGGCCCGCTCTGGGCTTTTCACCATCTGGTCCCTCTTCCCAGCAAGCCTGGTCCCCTTGCGTACCTGGAAAGCTCTATCTCCTTCAGGCCAGCTCAGTGCTGTCCTCCCTCCCGCCCTCCCCACGTGCCCCCCCCCCTTCCCGTAACTGTATCGTCAGTGCCGGGTTACAACTGCTTCTCCTCACAAACTGAAGCTCTGTGAGGACAGCAGCGGGGCTGACAGCTCTCTGCCCAGCACTGCCCCGGCAGCCAGCTCGAGTGGTCCCTGTCTCACTGCACCGTGGGCAACACTGAGTCACCTAATGGGAAGACAGCTCACCCAGGGGCACAGCAATTCCCAGCCGAGGGCTCTGGCTCTGCCTCTTAAATCCTACCTCTTGCAGGCACAAGCTGGTGTTCTACGATTCTGACGAGGAGCTGGACAAGGAGGCCCCAGACGCTGACCCTTGGCTTCCTGCCTGGACCCCAGAGGGCAGTCCCCATGGTGACTGAAACTCTGTCTCTCTTCCTTGTAGGCTGGTGTAGGGTCTCCTTGGTACTTTCTTTGTGAGGATTTTAGTGGGAGGGGCAAGTGGGAAAGGAAATGGATGTCTGCAAAGTACAGGGATGTCAAACACAGTGTGTCCACTGTCACTGCCATGGCAGACATTGCTAATCAAGCATCACTTTCGGACGATCCTCAGAATCTTTCTTAACACAGAGCTCCAGGTAACTACAATCAGTCTACTGAATCTGGCACATTATGCTACTGATTTATTTATTTTTTTTGCAATTCCTGACATAATGCCAGGCATGGTGCCTTAGTTTCCTCTACCAAGCTCTCAAAATAAGCAGTTGACAGTCATCTTTCCCCAGGGTCTGGCACCATCTCCTCAAAGCCAGCTGGGGAGAGGGTAATCTGTGACCACACCCCAAGCCTGATGTTTCCTTTCCAGGGAGCCCACGGGCCTTGGGGCCTCCCCAGATTGACAAGTGGGGTGTGACAAGCCACCTCAGCAAGATCCTAGGCCTCAGCCCCTCCCTCTTCAGCTCCCCGGGGAAACTGTTGTCAGAACAGGTCCTGGAGGATGGCGGCGAGTACCTGACCCAAGGTGAGCATGCAGGGCTGGATCTGATGCTTAGTTCATTCAGAAAACACACGGTGATGCCCATCAGGTAAGTGCATAGCCCTGTGCTGGGCAGTGCTGGACACTCATCGCCAGGGATGAGTACTGTCCAGGCCCTGCCTCAAAGAGCCCATAGCCTAATGGAGGAGCAGCCCCAGGCCGGTGTGGGGAACGGGAGGGCCCAGGAGCCTGCAGCAGGAACCCACTTTCTCTGCCCAGGTTGGAGGTAGCCCAGGGGGGCTGGCCTGGGAGCTAGATTTGGACATGGGGGAGGAGATCCGGAAACCTAGAGAGGGGCTCTGGCTAGCGGGCTGGTGGGACAGAGAACTGGTGCCTGGAGAGAGGCATCTCCATCCCAGCCAACCCTCTGGCTTCCCTCTCTGACAGCTCTCTTCAAAGAAGTTTTCTTAGATCCTGTGTCTTCACCTTCTGCCTGCATGCTGGAGGTACCACAGAAGGTAGGCATCTCTCCACCCAGCCGCCCACGATATGGCCGACCTTCTTTCCACATGTATCATTTACCTGCTTGATTCACTCACCCGTCCCCTCGACCTTTCCAGAGACTCATCTGCTCATTCTTTGAATGTTTGCTGTTGGCCACCAGGTGCCCACTCTGTGCTGGGCACTTGGAATGAACCAGACACAAAGGATGAAAGCTAAAAAGCTGCAAGGTGCCCATGAAAGACCCCACGTAATTTTATAAATGCTCTATGAGACAGGGTCTCCGTGACCCCATTTGACAGAAAATAGCAGAGCAACCCCAGGAATCCTCAGTTGGAAAGAGCTCCCTCCCAGGCCCCCGGGATGACTTCTGTAGCCATGTCTGCTCCAGGAGCTCACTGTCCATCTGACAAAGGGGCAGCCCCAGCCCTAGTCCCCAAACCATTCTTTCTCCAGTGTGTGTGGGCGGGGGCACTGCCTCAGTGAGTAGTTGAATGGGCAGTAAAAGCAAAAATAGACACCCTTAGTGGAGCCCTTAGTAAGTGCCAGGCACTGTGCTAGGTACTTCTTAGCCCTGCAAGACATGCGGTGAACACTATTCTGTAGATGAAACTGATGCTTAGAGAAGTTAAGACTTGCCCAGGGCATCACGGCTACCATGCGAAGTGGTAAACTGATGGGATTAAGAGATATTACCCCAGCCCTGGCTGGTGTGGCTCAGTGGTAGAGTGTCTGCCCATACGCCAAAGGGTCTTGGGTTCAATTTCTGGTCAAGGGCACGCATCCGGGTTGCAGGTTTGATCCCCAGCCCTGGTCTGGGTGCATGCAATCAATGTGTCTCACATCGAATTTTCTCTCTTTGTGTGTTTTTCTCTCTATCTCCCCCTCCCTCCCTCCAACCCTCCACCCTTTCCATTCTATCTAAAAAATTATGGAAAGATATCCTCGGGTGAAGAGTAACCAAAAAGAGAGAGAGAGAGAGAGAGAGATTGCCCTAGAATAGGAAGCAGAAGACCTGAGCCCAATAGATCCCCTTTCTGACCCCTGTGGAAACTTGGGAACATTTGTTTGAATATCCAGGGGTGTTTGGATGAGCTTGTCTTGAATTTGAGCTGTTTCTCATGCTCATTTCCTAGGAAAGCAGTGAGCTGAGCCTGAAGGGACATCACTGTCTCTGCTCACATCCCTCCAATTTTCTCCTTCACCTCCCAGGACACACCCGCTGAGGCCCCTGAAGACCTTCCTGACTCCCACAGCCTGTGCCAGTCCTCAGTGTCACTGGATCATCTCTCGCTGAGTGAGGACAGCAAGGCGTCATCCAGCCCCAGCTATGAGGACACAGACACCGACACGGACACAGAGTTGGGATGGAGGCAGCAGGTGAGGGGGACAGCCACTGAGGTTGGTCCCGCCTCTCCTGCCTGCTCTCATCTCTCTGCCCCCAACCCAGGACACGCAGGCTGACACTGAGGGCCCCAAGTCCACGAGCGATGAGGATGGAGACTACACGTGGACCCCTACCCAGCAGGTCTCGACCCTGCCCTCAGCCAGGAGGAAATCCAGGAAGGGCCGGGCAGGCGGGGGCCCTGTGAAGGCCAAGAAGAACAAGAAGGCCTCCTGCCCCACTCAGACGAAGAAAAAGTGTGTCAATGGCTTCATCATGTTCTGCAGGATGAACCGGAAGCTGTACATCCGGTGGGTGGGGGTCCTCTTTGGCCGCCAGCCCCCCAGAGCACGTTGCCCGCTGCTGTCTGACACATTGATGCCTTCCTGAGCCTCACTGTCCCCCAACATCTCACCTGGCCCCATTGCATTGGTCAGGGGCTGTCAGTTGTAAGCAGTGAAACCCACCTCAGACTTAAGAAAACAAGGAAATTAATTGGCTTATATAACATGAAAAAAGGGCGGGGTAGATTGGGTTCAGGTGTGGTTGGTCCGAGGGCTCACAGGATGCTGTCTGGAATTCCTGTCCCTCTCTTGTGCCACTGTCTTCCAGATGGGCTTCATTCTCAGGCAGGTGGGGCCAGGCGGGGGCAAAGCCACCCCTGGGAAGTCCAGGCTCATATCCTGGCTCCCATCCCAGCAACCCTGTGGAAGGAGAGCTCCTCATTTCTAAGGTTTCAAGAAAAAGTTCTGGGGTCTGACTTGATAGATCAGGAGCCCAACCCTGAACCCATCATTGCCAGCCTGAAGCTGGGGAGTGGGAGCCCCCCCAGGCAACAGCAGAGAAAAGCTTCCTTATAGGAAGATCCAGGGGCTGATACTGGGAGCAGCAGGCACAGGACCCCTACAGGTCTCAGGACATGGGTGTCAACTTCCCAACAACCACTTAGTTAGCCCCTCTTTTTGATGTCTCAGCTCCAGGGTGCGTATCGGAGGCCTTTCGATACCTAAGGTGGGCGGGAGGGACGAGTTCTCAAAGGGAAAGCTGAGGCCCTGAGGGCCAGGGAGCCTCGCACGGCCAGGTCCGACCATTGGCCTTTGTGCAAGCATTTCCCTTCAGGCCCTGCTCACCTCCTTCCTCCTGTCCTAGAGCCTGCCCCGGGACTGCATCCACGGCTGCCACCAAACAGCTGGCCCAGCTGTGGCGGGAGATGACAGAGCAGGAGCGGAAACCATATAGGTGAGGAGCCCAGGGCCTCCTACTCCTCAACCCTGCTTTGGTTTTCAGAGCCTTGAGCTTCATGAGATTGGAAACAGGCTGGGAGTTCACTGGGGTGGGTGATCTGGGTGTTGCAAGCTTTTCTGAAGTATGCGGGGATGACAGAGGTAGACAGGCTCTCTACCTTGGAGCTTAGAAGGGCAAATAGCTTAATTTGGGATTTGGACCTCACTGCCCTACATTTCTTTTGCCCTCTCTGCCACAGGGAGTTTCTCAGAGCAGGAAACTGGGTCTTCCCTTCCACTCGGCCTCCTCTCTCTTACCCCTCTTCCTTCTCCCCTCCCTTCCCGAAACCCCCTCTTCACCAGTTAGGAGCTGCCACCTACCTGTTTCTCAGGTGGCCCTGAAACACACCTGTGTGCACAGATTTTAACAGGAGTGTGGGGCTTCAGCAAAGAAACCTTGGTGGAGTCCCACTGTGTAGACTGGGACTCAGGCCCAGAGGTTCACCCACCCTGTGGGACCAGATAAGCCCTGGCCCCCGCTCTTAGCTCTCGCCCTGGCCACTGCTGGGGCCAGAGCGCTGGTGGTGAGGCTGAGAGGCTGAGAGGCCGGTGAGGAACCGCCCACCCCACTGCCTCCCCCCTGCAGCATCAAAGCTCGGAGGTTCAGCCGCCAGCACAACCGGATTGTGAAGCGGGAGAACTCCAGCAGCGAGGACGAGGACTGGGGGGTGCCCAAGCCCTTCTATCAGTTGCTGGCGGACCGGGCCTGTGGTTCCTCAGAGCTGGCCTCTCTGCTGCCTTCTCACCACAAATGAGAGGGTCATCCCACCTCATCTCCTCCCTCACCACCTCCAGTTCCTGTGGCTCGTGTTTGAAACCTGGAGCCGAAGATGAAGATGTTGCCCCTCCTGGGCCTTGGCCAGTTCCCCTGGGGCTGGGAGGGGTGGATGTATTGACCCCCATGCTTTGTGTGTTTGCCTTGTATGTGGGCAGCTGAGCTCTGCCCTTCTGACAGCTCCTTTCTCCCTCGGAAGGAAGCCCTGAATGAAATGCAGGGAGAAGTTAAGGAGAAGGGACTCCCCTCTGCCCTGGCTTTGCCCACCCCACAATCAAATGGTTTCAACCCTGTTCGTGCTCACCTTATCCACTCCTTCCTCCCCTGTTCTATTTATAGATTATTTATTGTTGCCAACAAAATAAAGTGGAGCCCTTGTTACCAGCAAGGGAGACTAGGCAGACCGCCCTGGTCCCCTGCTCCCTCAGCCCTGGGGGCGCTCCTTCTACCTGGAGGCCCCAGGATCTGCAGTTTGAAAGAAACTGCACTCCCCCCCTCCTCTCTCTCTCTCTCTCTCTCTCTCTCTCTCACACACACACACACACACACACACACACACACACACACACAGAGTCCCCCTCAGGGTGCAGCCATCAGAAAGCCAGAATCTCAAACTGGGCTTTGTGTGGTTTACTTTGGGCAAGTTGTTTAGAAAGAAACCCACACTCCTGGAGGTTTTAGTTGTCTGTTAACTTTATTTTAATTGAAATGTAGGCATAACATGTCCTAGAAAAATAAAGATTTAGCATACAAACTAGACACGGGGGTCAAGGTTGCCCCTCGGGTGAGGGCATCTTTGGTCTGGGGCTGGACGTGATGGGGGCTAGTGGGGGATCCTCGCCCAGGTCTCCTCACACCCGCATCGTGTTTCAGCGGGAAGGGCCCAGCTGGGAGGCTCAGTCCCCGGGCACAGGACTGCCTGTCCTCCACCCTTGGATTCCAAGCAGTTCTGAGAACTCTGGAGGTCAGTGGAGCTATTAATAGTGTTTTAGGGAGTGATAGGGAGAGGGCTCACGGGGGTTGGAAATCCAGCCATTTGGCAAGGTTTTCAGCTCACAGCTCGTACCAGGTCAAGGGGGGCAGAGCCCCTGAGTCAGGACCCCCAGATCTCCCTATATACATGGGGGAGAGCAAGGAGAGGACTGTAACAGAGGAGCTTCCCATCCAGATGGAGGGTGCCCGTGGACAGGGGTGAACCCGCTGCATGTCCAGGGCTTGGAGAGGTTAAGCAGCCAGGGTTGGGGTGTAGTGTGTGTGGAATCTTCAGATCAACAACTGTTTCTGAAAGGTCCCCTACTCCCGGCTGCCCTGGGCCTCAAGCACCATTGTCAGGAGAGGCGATGAGGCCCGGCAGTCACAGTTCCAAGGGCTCTTCCACAGGCACTGACTGTAGCTGGGTCAGGACCTTGGTCTCAGCTTCCAGCCCCTCATCAACCTCACCCCCTGCAGTGGCCCCCAGGAGCAGCCCCTCAGGGTCAGGGTCTGGGAGCCTCAGCACAGTATGGGGGGCCTGTGTCCCCAGCCCCTTCTCTGCTTCCAGCAGCCCCTCTGTGCCTGTGCTCAGTTCCAGTCCCGAGGGCCAGATGGGCACGGCTGCGGGTGACAGCATGAGGCCCTCCGGCGGGGGCGCAGGGAAGCTGGCCAGGAGGCAGGAGGAGTCTGGGGAGAAGGGCAGGCTGGCAGCAGTGGTGGCGGCAGGGGCAGGTGGTGGCTGTGGCAGCCGCTGTGCAGAAAGTGTGCCTAGAGCGTGGGCCTCTGGGAGAGCGGGGCTGGGCGCCACGGGGAGGCCTCCTTCTGGCACTGAGATGGCTGTGTCTGGCTTCAGGGGCAGGGCCAAGCTGGGGGCAGGCGGCAGGACCTGGGAGACCAGCATGCTGGTGGGGAAGGTGGCAGTGAGGATGATCTTGCCCTGCTGCACGGCCACACCTGTCACGATGGGGCTGCCAGACACAGGGTTGGCCAGGAGGAAGTTTCCTGTGGGGAGAGATGTCGAGGCACAGCATTAGAGGGGGCGCTGGCCAGGAGCAGAGGTGGCAATTAAACTGCTGGAGGGCAGGAGGAAGATTAGCCAGAGGCAAACTGATCCCCTCAGAGTGGGACCAAGTCTGGATGGCTTGAGCCGCACAAGCTGGCACAGGAGGGTTCTGGGACATACCAGGGATGAACTACCCCCACCCCCAAGCCCACCAACAGCACCCTCCCTCCCTGAAATAACTACCCCTCACCCAGGCCAGAGGGAGGCAGAAGGGGGTACCTGGGGCAGTGGCCGAAGGCAGCTGCAGGGCAGTCACACCCACCCCGGAGTTTATCAGGTGCACATTAGTAGGGCCTGCTGCAGCTGCCACCTTCACGGGACTGCCTGGCCCAGCTGCCAATAGCTGCAGTGGCCCCACAGCTTGGGGCAGGGTTACCACCTGGGAGGTGGGCACCACTTGGGGCAGGTTCAACAGTGGGGAGGTAGGGCCCAGGCCTGCAGGGTACCCAGGGGGTGGGGAAAGGGGCACCACTTGTGGAGCAGCCACAGAAGGCACTGGTCCTGGGGGCAGAGGAAAGGCAGCAGCTGGCGGGGGGCCAGGCACCACTTGGGGCAGAGGCCCTGGAACCTCCTCTCCCGGTGGTCCCAAAGCAGCCACCTGGGTCCCCTTGGTCTCAGGGGCCTCAGGCTGAGCCTCCTCCAGGCGAACCTCCCCGGTCTGAGGGTCCAGAACCAAAGAGGTCTTGCCCTCACTGGGCCCCAAGGCACTGGGCTGTGGTGGGGGGGCGCCCCCTCCCCCTGTGAGCAGCAGGGGGCCCAAGCTGGAGGCTTCACCCAGGGCCAGGCTGTTGATGATGACAGGGCTCCCATTGAGAAGCACGGCTGGTGAGCTACTGGCAGCCAGGAAGCTCCCGTTCACCAGGATGGAGGAAGAGGCAGGGCATGGTGCAGGAGGGGTGGCCCCAGCCAGGAATATGGAGCCCTGGGCTGGGGCCTCGGTGGCCACTGGAGCCACGCCCCTCTCCAGGTCCTCAGGGCTGCGGCTGGACTCATCCTCAGTAGTGGGGTTCCCATCAGACTCGCTGTTCGGAGAAAGGATTGTGAGTTGTGGCCCTAAATGCTGTGCTCCCCACTGGTCAGCCAGATTCCTGCACAGAGCCGCAGGGGCCTCCCCATTTTTCCCCAGCCCAAACTTTTGGGGGCAATGCCTGGGGATTATGAAACCTCCTTTCTGAGACCACCTAAGGACCCCAGGGACAAGGGCCTCTGTAAGCCTTGCATTGACACCACTGCATAAAAGCTAAAGCTGGCCAAATCCGGAAGGAGCAGGCTGCCCCGGCTGCCCCGAGTCTCCCGGGTCTGGCCGAAAGCAGTCCAGTGGCTCTGGAGAGCAAGGAGGCAGCCGCCCGCTCCGTTCCCGGTGCCCTCCTCCCAGGGCGTCAGAGAAGGGAGTGAGAGGCTGGCAGGCCGGGTGGGAGGGGAAGGGCTTGGGTTACAGGGAAACCGGAGCTGGGGAAGGTTCACGTTTCACAACAAAGACAGACGACGGACCACGCTGTTTGGGCCCTGAGGGGGGGCGGGAAGGGGGTGTGAGAACGAGCCAAGGTCCGGGCAAGGCCCAGCAGCGCAGCGACCTGAAAGAAGCCCTGACGCCGGGTGGGGTGGACAAAGGCCCCTCCCCCTTCCTCGGTAGCCCCTTTTTCTCTCTGCCTCCCCAGTCTAGCCACCCACACGGATGGGATCTAGGATGGGGCCCTGCGTGGAGCAAAGGGAAGAGAAGCAGCGATGTCGGGAGAGGGCCCCAGGCGTGTGCCCGTTGCATCCGCACTGTACCCCGCGCGCCGCGGGCGCCGGAGGGTGTGAGTGGGAGGCGTCTGAAGAGTTCGCGCTGGCTCCGGCAGTGGGCATGCGGGACAGGGGGGCTGGTGAATAGCACATTCCTGGGAAAGAGGGACCTGTGCTGCCCGGGTCCCCTCACCTCTTGCAGGGCGCGCCGCCGCCGCCCCCAGTTCGGTCGCGCTGTCGCCGGTTCTTGAACCAGTTGCTGACCTGCGTGAGCGAGAGGCCGGTCAGCGTGGCCAGGCGGCGCTTCTCGTCCGGCGTGGGGTAGCGGTTGCCGCGATAGCAGGCCTTGAGCGCTGCGCGGGAGCGCTCCTTGAAGCAGTAGACGGTCTCCTCGCCGTCCCAGATGGTCTTGGGCAGCGGGAACTTCTTGCGAAGACGGTACTTGTCCACTGCGCCCAGCGCGCGGCCGCGGGCCCGCTCCGCCTCGTGGTAGCGCGCGCGCAGGTAGAGGTCCTGCAGGAAGGCGTGGTGGGCAGCGGGGAAGGGGCGGCTCTCGAGCAGCCGGTAGAGCTCGGCGTACTCGCCCCGCTGGAAGGCCACCAGGGCCCGAGCGCGCAGCACCGGGTCGCTGCCACGTAGGCGCTCGGCCGGGGGCAGTGCGCCCAGGAAGCGGCTCAAGCGGCCGGCATGGCCCGCCTGTAGCAGCGCCTCGCAGACGCACGCCACCTGCTCGGGCGAGAAGCGGAGGCCCGTGGGCGGCTCGGCAGCGGCCTCGAGGGGCGACCCGGGGACGCCCGGGGACCCCGGGCCCTCCGCTCCCGCCGCCGCTTCGCCCGCCCCGGCCCCGGCCGCCGCCGCCGCCGCCGCCTCACCCTCGGCCGCCTGCAATGTCTGCAGGAGCTGGCGTGCTTCCTCCTCCTCTTCTTCGGTCGCAGCCGCCGCCACCGCCTCCCCCCCAGCCGCCGGCCCCGCGCTCGGCTCAGCAGGCAAGGTAGCCATGTTTTGCAACTTTGGGAAGTTCCTCCCTCCTTCTCCTCCTCCCTTGGGCTTTCCCCAGCCCCCTCCCCCGCCCGTCCCCCCTCTCCGCCCCCCCTTCACGCTTCCCGATCTTCTCCCCCTGGCGACCCTGCGAACCCCAATGCCAGGCCCAGCGCCCCAGGAGGGTCCCTCTCCCAGTGTCTGTGTGTGCCCGTCCCCCTCCTCGTCTGTCCGTGATTCTC